AGTTTGTGAGGACTATTTGAGTTTTGGTTTGGGTGAGACAACTATTCACTAACCTAAAGACTCTCCGAAGATATATATTTGGGGCATTTGCTCCTGTCCTGGGGAGGTACTCCTTGAAGATGTTGTTGATAAACCCACATTAACCTGGTGAGAGAGACAAGCCCACCTGCCAGCACTGAGGTCTTTGTTCCCTAGCAACATGTTCTAGCAATAGGGATCTTTTACTTCCGCCCTGCCAGCGGGAAATCAGCCCTTTGGTTGGTGGTTGCCCACTCTCAGAATGCCGCCTCCTTAAAAAAAAGATATACCTTATATGTAATTTAGACTTCATTCCTTCACATCCTCCTTGTCTGGAAAAACACTGTGATTAATCTGTCATTTGTTTGGAGTATGTTTTTTTTTTCTTTTCCCATTTGAATTTACTAATATAGCATACTTGACTTTATTAATAGCATATCCTGTATGCTATTGGTATGTGAAATTATGATTCACACACCATACCTATGCTAAATTAATTTTTGGCAAAGACAAAAAATAGTTTCTGGGGCAAAATTTTGCTACCTTCCCAAAACAAGAAGACCCATACCATTATTAGAGTAGTTTGAAATATTCTGCTTAAATATGACAAACAAAAAGAGATTTTAGTTTATATGTGTACTATTTTTTCTCTTTAAAAAGTAGTAAAAGCATAAAAAAACCAACAAAAAATAGTTAAATCAAAAAATAATTTTTAAGTTTCTTTGAAAGGAGGGAAGGCTTGGTTGGGAGAAAATTAATCTAAACTTTGTTCATTTGAATCATACCCATTTTTCAGGAAACTTTTTTATTCCATTCAAAATATGTGGTTTTAATAAAAATATTTAAAACTCCTCTTATATTGTGGTTAAGAGCATATTTTAGAAGACATATGGAGTTGGGTCTCAAATATATCAGTTTACTAGCTGTGATTTTATATACTGTTAATTTTAAAAATTTATACATACACACACACACACACACACACACACACAGAGTGGCCAGATTATTATGATCTCTGAACACATAACTAATCTGGTCACTCAGTGTATATGCTATATAATAAAAGGCTAATATGCAAATTGCCCCCCTCAACCAGGAGTTCTACTAGCAGGTAGGCCAGCCAACCACCCATGTCCTCTCCCCCTGGCAGGCTGGTTGGATCCCACCCATGCACAAATTCATGCACCAGGCCTCTAATATATATGTATATATATATATATATATATATATATATATATATATACACTGAATGGCCAGATTATTATGCGTTCAGAGATCATAATAATCTGGCCACTCAGTGTGTATGTATATGTATGGTTGATCGGGATAGATGGAAACATCAATGAAGAGAGTCATTGATCAGCTGCCTCCTGCATGTCCCCTACTGGGGATAAAGCAGGCAACCTGGGCATGTGCCCTTGACCAGAATTGAAACAGGCACCTTTTAGTCTGCAGGCTGACACTTTATCAACTGAGCCAAACCAGCTAGGTACTCTTATTTCTAAGTCTGTTTCCTCATCTAAAGATGGGCAAAGTAATACCCAATCCTCCCAGGATTACAGGAAACTATTTTGCAGAGGCTTAGGAGCTTTTTTCTCCCCTCCCCCCATTTCCCTTCCTTTCTAACAAGTGCACTTTTTACGTTAAACAACAACAAAACCCCCGAATAATTTAAAATCATGCTCAGATACTTTAAAAACAGAACTCCAAAAATTATAATTTGCACAATCTCACTGGAGGGAAGAGTTGTTTTTTGTTGTTTTGTTTATTGTTTTTTTTTTGGTCAAATTCCAATTTTAGAATTTTTTTTTCATTTTTCAAAGATAATGTATTAAGTTTACCAAATGATGAATAATTGGAAATATTTTTGCTTTGTTTTAGTGCAGTATTTGAACTTTTCATCCCACATATGGCTCAGTTTACACAAGTTGTATTTAGTTAAGCATTAACACTATTTGAGTTATGAAACACATTGTTCACAACCTATTGGAGGAGGGGAGAAAAATATCGTGAAACTGACATACTACTGCATTCCACCAGGGAGCATTACATTAAAAATAGAAAGACTGAGAAATGGCTACATATCAAACTATTCCTTTACTATTAACCATTAGAGTGAAAAGGTTAAGAAGGCGTGCTCCTCTTCCTGGGAGCATGCTCAAGCCTTATCCCTCCTCCTTTTCTTCCTCCACAGGCATGCATCTCCTACTAAACTCTAAAAGACCCCATGAAACTTGCAGCCAGGGGAGCAATGGACAGCTATGTAACCTCGTCCTGGGCTAACCCTGTGAACTTGTCTCCAAGACCCCCTTTTCTCTGACTGTTCAGTGAGCCAGACACCGCTTCCTAGGCTCTCTCCTGTTGCTTCTTCTATCCTAAGCCCTTCCTTGTTTCACTGTCCCCAGCTTTAATAAACAAATTCTCAAAAAAAAAAACCACACAAAAAAACACACAAAACAATAACACAACAATACTTAGAATGTTATACAGTCACTTACCTAGCAAGTGCCACAAAACAGTTGATACAAGGCACAAGAACTTGCAAAAATAGAGTACTGTGCCAAGCAAATGTGGCTCAATGGTTTGAGCATTGACCCATGAATCAGAAGGTCAAGGTTTGATTCCTCGTCAGAGCACATGCCCAGGTTGCAGGCTCCATTCTCAGTTCAGGGCATACAAGAGGCAGCCTATCACTGATTCTCTCTCATCATTGATGTTTCTATCTCTCTACCCCCTCTCCCTTCCTCTTTGAAATCAATAGAATTATTTTTAAAAATATAGTATCATAATTATCCTAATACTATAAAAGATAGTTGTAGGTAGTTCTTAAGTGTACACTCAGATGACAAACTTCTAGATAAAACTGATAGGATTTTTCTGTAGAGCAATTATCAACCTCACTACCTCTAACCAAGACTCCTTGGAATCCAATCATATGAATTTATAGTAAGATGTGAACTCAGATGTAAAAAGCCAGGGCTAGAAGTCAGTGTTCTTTCCATGAACACTCTCCCAGGTGGAAGACAATAATGAGAAATGGGATAAGATCTAGGGAGTTTGGGGAGTGAAGTCATTTTGGGAAGTGAGAAGAATGGAAAAATCAAAAGGCTGGAACCCAGCCTCACTATGCCTAAAATAAGATTCTTGTTACTGAAGGATTAGTATGACTAATTTTTTCCTTTTGCCTCAGGCTTTAACATAGTTTAATTAGTCCAATCTTTTTTCCTAAAAGTTTGGTATTTTGTTCATCATGCTTAATTTTTATCTTTTTCAAAAATGGTGTAAAAATATTACTAATCTATATTACTGAGGCTTTTAGCACACCCTTATAGTTTTTACCTACTCATTTCAGTCCTGGGTTTTCAAAGGAGAGTGAAAATGATGCAAGAATAGGAACAAAAACTGATTTCAGTGTTTGGAAGGAACTGAGCCAAGAAAGCAGGGATCAAATTTTATAATCATTCTTTGGTCTATCACCATCTGCTCTACTTCACTGACTCACCCCATGGCCCCAAGTTAGGATGGCACTATTACCTCTGATCTTGGTTAAACTATGTAAAAATCTCTTTTCTTTTGTATTCTGAGAAGACTTGCTCTTACAAAGATCTTTTAATAGAAAAATAATAAAACAAACACCAAATCATAAAGATGGTTAAGTTTAAAGTACACATATTTGACACGCCTCTGATCTATGGCTCTACCTTGCCAGTGAGTAAAATGATTCTATTGTCATGGACTTGCTCTGTTATGCCGCTGTCAGCATACAATCCACTGGATGTTGTTGTTTTTTTTTTGTCTTGTTTTTGTTTTTGTTTTTGTTTTTATAGATTTTGAGAATCTTTGCCCTCATTCTGATAATCTAGAATTAAGTTAAAAATCTTCTGTGGCAGGATATACAATAAGGCTGTTCAGTCTGAAATGCTTTAATTAAAAGGAACAAACAGTGGAATACAAATAAGTGTCAGGGAACATTTCTATCATGCTGCGCTCAATACTCTGAACATTTCTTATACAAACTAAGAACAACTAGACACTCAAATCACTAAGTGTTTTAAAAAATATATACGCACACACACAAACACACACACATACTAGAGGCCCAGTGCATGAAAATTCATGCACTCAGGGGGTCCCTCAGCCCAGCATGTGTCCTCTCGCACTTTGGGTCCCCTCGGGGGATGTCTGATTGACAGCTTAGGCCCACTTCCTAGAGGATCAGGCCTTTGCTGGCAGTCAGATATCCCTTGGGCAGCCTGGGAGCTCTTAGGGGATGTCTGACTAACTGCTTAGGCACACTCCCTGCCATTAGTCATTAGTCAGATATCCTTTGTGCTACTGTAGAGGTGGGAGAGGCTCCCACCACCACTGCTGTGCTGGCCAGCCATGAGCTAGCTTAGTTTGTATAAGAAATGTTCAGTGCTTCCTCTGTGGAAGTGCACTGACCACTGAGTTAATAGTCTTTCAATAAATACAAATTAAGAGTATATTCAATAATTTGGGAACATCTAATTATTAATACAATTCAGAATTAGACAGGTTAATTTCCTTGTTGGGTAATCATTCATATTCCTAAATTCTTCTGATTTTTTTTTTTTTTTTTTTTTTTTAACAAGTCTCACCACCACAGGTTGAACAGCACCACAACAGAGCCTAACAAAATGATGAGCACACATGTTAGGTATTGTCCAGCTGGGACTTCACTGGCATAACTATATTTTAAATGTCAATTTGAAGTGAGCCTTTTAAGAAACTATACAAGTGAATAAAGGACAATAAACAGAACTTCAAAGGAAACCAAACATTGGCTTCTTGTAATTAAATGATGAGAAAAAGATTCAGAAATGAACATTTCAGTTTTAAAATGAGCGACAATCAGTACTTCAAACTTATTTTACCACTTTAAGTGAATATTATTCAAAATAAAAATACTTCCATATCATAAACATTAAAGCCTATAATATAAAACTGGTAGCAACTAATAGCTTTTTTCTTAGTCTTTTTATATAAATAACTGATGAACCAATTATTTTCTCTCACTTCTGCAAAGCCAAAGTCATTGAAATTGATTCCAGATTTAGCATTTTTAAGAATAATCACTCAAACATATACAAAATTATTTAATATTTTTGAAGAATTATAGGAATATGAAAGCTAAATTTTATATTCTTGCACTTTTTGATATTAGAAAGTCCAAAGACATTATAAAGTATTTTTCTTGCTAACCCATGTAAGAATTATAATGTGCAGAAAAGATGAGAGATTTTTTTGTGCAGGAAATAACTGTGTTTCAGACTGTAATTGCTTTTGAATTCCTGTTATTTTCCCTTGAAAAGAAAACAGAAGAGAATCTTGTGAAGCTAGTAAGACATCCCAGGTGCTTTCAAAGGATCCCTTTTCATATAGGAACTTCTAAGCAAGCACACTATAGTGTGGGTAGTTATTTTTCCTCCAATCCTCTTCTTCTGGCAGACCAGGTGAAGTCAGTAAAAGAAGATCTATATTTGAAAAGTAAAGGAAAAAGAACATATCAGAATAAGAAATGCAATTCAGCACACTAATTTACCCATGCTTATTTTTTCATATAGATAAAGAGTAATGAAAATTTCATAATTTTGATAGAATAAAGGACAAAAACTCATGAAAATCTTAATAGACAAAGAAAAAACAATTAATAAAACCCAACAATCTGATAAAAACATTCAACACTAGGAATAGAAGGGAACTCCTTCAAATTGATAAAGACATCTCAAAGACCCACAGTTAACTTCATACTTAATGGTGAAAGACAGATAAGGAATTTAAGATAAGGAATGAAACCAGGATGTCTGTTCTCACCACTTCTATTGAGCATTGTATGGAAGGTTCTAGTTAAGACTTTAGGCAAGGAAAATAAATAAAATACATCTAGATTAGAAACAAAGAAAGAAGTAAAACTATCGCTATTTGCATAGAACATGCTTGTACATAGCAAATCCTAAGGAAGATAATGAATCAATAATTTCATTAAGGTTATAGGATATAAGATCAATAACCAAAAATTAACTATATATTAACTAGTGACCCGATTTGTGCACTGGTGGGGTCCCTTGGTGTGATCTGCAGGGATTGGGCTGAAACTGGCAGTCCAACACTGCCTGCTGCTCTTGCCTGCTGCTCCTGCTAATCCCAGCCCAGCTGTGCCTGCTATGGGCTTGCGCCCAGTTAGTCCCAATCAGAAGAGGCTGGCGCAGCTGCAGCGGCACTCACCAGATGTGAGCCCTGTGTATGGTACCCATTAAGTCAGTTGAGTAACGCTTACTACCAAGGATGGCTTCTGCATTGAGCGTCTGCCCCCTGGTGGTCAGTGCACATCATAGTGACTGGTCTATTGATCGTGCATGTATAGGGTTCCTAGACCTGGATGGCAATCTGGGCCAGCCGGGGCCTTCCTCTCCCCAGCTGCCAGCTGCTGGCTGGGGCCTTTCTTCGTTCCGTGCAGTTCCCTGGTGGTCAGCACACATCATTGCAAGTGGTCAAACTCCCAAGGGGACAATTTGCATATTAGCCTTGTATTATATAGGAGTCATAATGAATAATTAAAAATGACATGAAGAAAATTTCATTTGTAATACCAACAAAAGAATAAAACACTTAGGAATAAATTAAACATCAGAAGTATAAAAGTCGCATTCTAAAAATTATAAAATAGCCCTCGCTGGTTTGGCTCAGTGGATAGAGAGCCTGTGAACTGAGAAGGCATGTGCAGGAGACAGCTGATCATTATTCTCTCTCATTAAAGTTTCTCCCTCTCTCCCTCTCCCTTCCCCTCTGAAATCAATAAAAATATATTAAAAATAAACAAATAAAATGAAAATTATAAAACATTGTGTGTGTGTGTTTTTAAAATGGTTTTATTGATTTAAGATGGAGAAAGAGAAATATTGATTGGTTTCCTCCATTACATACCTTGATCAGGGACTGAACCTGCAACCTGGGCATGTGCCCTCAATGGGGATTGAACTGGTGACCTTTCAGTGCACAGAACAATTCTCAATCAAATGAGCTACACCAGCCAGGGCATAAAACATTGTTGAAAGAAATTAAAGTAGGAATATATGCCATGTTAATGGATTTGAAAACTTAATTGCCAACATAACAATACTTCCCATATTGATATATAGATTCAACACAATACCTATCCACCTCACAGCTGGCTCTTTGCAGACATTGATAAGATGATTTTAACATTCACATGGAAATTCCACGGAACCAGAATAATCAAAGTCTTGAAAACTACAAAGTTGAAGGATTCATAGTCTCAGCTTAAAAAATTGCTACCGTCCCACCAACATGCTCAGTAGTTGACCTATGAACCAGAATGTCATGGTTTGATTTCAGGTCAAGGCACATGCCCAGGTTGTGGGCTTAATCCAATTGATTCTCTCTCATCATTGATGTTTCTATTTCTATTTCCCTTTCCATTCCTCTCTCTAAAATAATCAATAAAAACTTTTTTTTAAAATAAAAATCATACTATCTAGCAATTTGACTCTTAGCCTAAGGCATATACCCAAGAGAATTGAAAATATATGTTCAAACAAAAATTTGCACATGAATATTCATAGTAGAACTGTTGTTAATAGCCAAATAATGAGAACAATAGGTGACAAAATAAAATACGATTTTTCTTTATGAATTTCAGAATTTTATTGTCATTAAAAAAGTAACATATACTGATACATGTTACTACATAGATTGACCTTGAAAACAGTATGGTAAGTGAAAGAAGCCAATCTCTCTCTCTCTCTCTCTCTCTCTCTCTCTCTCTCTCTCTCTCTCTCTCTCTCTCTCTCTCTCTCTCTCTCTCTCTCTCACACACACACACACACACACACACACACAGAATCTGCTAATACAAAATGTCCGAAATAAATAAATCTATAGACAGAAAGTAGGTTAATAGTTGTCTAGGATTAGAGCGTTGGAGAGAAATGTAGTACGTCTGCTATTGGGTATAGATATTTATGAGATGGTGAACATGGTCTAATATTGATTATGGTGATGGTTGCACAATTACTTGAATGTAGTAAAAAATATTGAACTGGACTCCTTAAATGAATAAATTATATAGTATGTAAATTATATATATCACCAAAATTAAAAATATTCATGCCTTAGTGATTCTAATTCTCAATGTTTTATAAGAAAGTGTTCAAGTGTTCAAGGATGTATACACATATTATACATCTTTGCACCATTGTTCAAAATAAAAATATAAGTATCAATATAATCCAGTTAAAGAAATTAAGGCTATACATACAATGAAATACTAGTCATTCAAAACAACTATCTGTGTATCTACAAATAAATACATCTAACTTTAGTGACCTGTAAAGAGGCAAGGTAATGAATGCATTCCACATTTCATATGATATTTACATATATGTGTGTATGACATACTAGTGACCCATCGTGAGAAATTTTGCAAGACCCAGGACCCCTCCGTACCCCGCACCCCATGCTATGGGACCACCCTGAGTCCTGGAGTCCCACTCCACATGGCTGGCACACCACAGGATGGCCCCAAGTCCAGGAGTGCTGCCCCGATGCCCCACCTCTGGGCAGGGGCAGTTTCCTCAGCCAGACTTGCATCCTCTCGCAGTCTGGGAGCCATCGGTTGGACATCCTCAGTGCTGTTGTGGAGAGGCTCCCTCCACCACCACTGCACTCGCCAGCCAGGAGCCTGGCTTCTGGTTGAGTGGCACTTCCCCTGTGGGAACACACTGACCACCAGGGGTAGCTCCTGCAATTGAGCATCTGCCTTCTGGTGGTTAGTGCATGTCACATCCACTGGTCGTTCCATTGTTCGGTTGATTTGCATATTAGCCTTTTATTATCTATCTATATATAGAGCCAGGGTCCATATGACCAAGGCTCAACCGAATACCGGAAGTCAGTGCTGGTGTCAGCATGGCAACCCAGCACTGACTGACAGTGGGGCTACAGATCAGGCCCAGAGAGAGGCCTGCAGAGAGAGGCAAGGTCTGATCCCCAGCCACCATGGTACTGTTGATTAGCCACTGCCTCTCTCCTGGCTCCACCAGCAGACATGCCTCTGTTTCTCTCCAGGCTTCCTCGGGGGCTGCTGATCAGCCCTGACTCTTTGATCAGACCCAGGGATGCTGATTGGCATAGAAACTGACCAATCAGAACCAAATCTGGGTGATGTGCCAAAAGCCAATGGTTGCCTAGGAGGTGGAGCTTTTGATGCTGACACCAACCAATCAGAAACTCATCTGGGTGAACTGAGAAGGCAGAACATAAGGTTGGGGCTGAGGAGAGGTTTTCAGGGCAACAGCTGTTTGGTATAAGGTGTAAGAAAACAGTTAATTTTTTCATGACTGGTTTGGTAGTATAGTGCATATGGCTGGCTATCAGTCCAGTTATAGGAATTATGTGTTTTTGTCTGCCAAAAGCATCTCCTGCTGAAAAAGCCCCCCTTTCCCATTTAAGCAATCCTATCTTATATAATCTATCTATACTACTAAAAGGGTAATATGCTAATTATACCAGGTCAACCAACCATCTTCCAGATGTTCAACTTCCTTCAAGACAAAGCCATGTTGGTGGGGGCCACAACAGAGGCAGTTAGGAGCATTCAGTCTGGCAGGGGAGAGCAGTTGGGGGCAATAACAGGCAGGCAAGGGGTTAAGGACAATCAGGTCAGCAGGGGAGGGCAATTGGGGGCAAGATCAGGCTGGTAGAGGAGGGCCATTGGGGGTGACATCAGGCCGGCAGGGGAGAACTGTTTGGGATGAGATCAGGCTGGCAGGGGAGGGCAGTTAGGGGAGATTAGGCTGTCATGGGAGGGCAGTTAGGGGAGATCAGGCTGGCAGGGGAGGGCAGTTAGGAGAGATCAGGCAGACAGGCAGAGATAGTTAGGCACGATTGGGCAGGCAGGCAGGTGAGTGGTTAGAAGCCAGCAGTCCCAGATTACAGGAGGGATGTCTGATTGGAGAGTGTTCAGGCTGGGCTGAGGGAATCCCTACCCCATGAGTGAATTTCATGCACTGGGCCCCCAGTATAAGATAATGTTTTTTTCAAATATATTATTGCTATATAATAATAAAGGTAACCTAATATTTCTAGGTCACTAGTTGAAATACACAACTGAGGACAAAGTAAAGACAGAAGATTTATGCTAAGAAGAAATTTTAGATTCCTGATCAACTTGATAGGGAGCTGCTATTTTAAGTAAATATTTGGAGAAAGAATTATTATAGACTTTGTAATGATAATCAGTTTCCAAGGTGAAGAAAACTCTGACATGAGGATTTAGTTCATCATATACATCAGTACATATGGGGTAATGAATTTATTAAAATAACAACTATATTTTTTATATTTATATTTTCAACACATATTATATTCATTAAAGCATCATGATCTTTCTAGAAAAATTTTATCAGTAAATTTAAAATGTTAGGGATTTTCTCTGAGCATGGTCTTTGGACAC